TCTTTAATTGTATTGGGTTGCCACACACCACTCCTGCTTGTTTGTCATCGGTAGGTCGATATGGAAGTGTCCCTTTCATCTGAGTTATTTGTTAGGACTATGGCTTTGGGGTCTGAGGGGAATCAGGCGTAAAGTACTTCAAATGCCAACAATTCATTGATAATTTGAATTTTCCAGTCTCCCCACTGAGGGGAAGTTTCCAAGTATGCAGTGAGAATCCAGAGCCCTAAATTCAAAGAGATTCCTGTAGTGGCATGCTCCATGGTTCTAAAGAACTCTGTGCCTCTGAGTGGATGGGTGACCTGAGGTACTGGATGTCCTGTCTTAGATATGTTCGCCTAGTCTGGATGAGGGTGGCTTCCGGAGATCACTCATTGCTCCTGTCTTGTTGTGTCTCAAGTGGGAAATGTTTACCTGGACATTTAGTTGTTAGTCACAGCCTGGACAATGGGGTTGTCTATGGAACTTTTGGAGAAGATGAACAATTATAACATGGATATCCTTTTATGTTTCTGAAATGGGAGTCCTTCCATTCAAGAATGTGGGAACACATAAAAATTACCTGTACCAATTATTCTCTCCCTAATTGTATCTATTATCCATTTTTAAAAAATTACATTTAAGCTAGAATTAATCTTATTTTACATATCAATCCCAGTTCCCTCACCCTCCCATTCTCCCATACCCCCACTGCCCCCCCATTCCATCTCCCAACCACTTTCTAGGGAGGGTGAGGCCTTCCTTGAGGGATCATCAAAATCTATCAAATCATTTGGGGTGGGCCCAGATCGTCCCCCGTGTCTCTAGGCTAAGGAAGTATCCCTCCATGGGGAATGGGCTCCTGAAGTCCTTTCCTGCACAAGGGATACTTTCTGGTTCCACAGCCAGAGGCCCCATAGACTGCCCAGTCCTCCCAGCTGACACCCACTTTCACAGGGCCTGGTTTGGTCCTATGTTGGTTCAACAGCTGTCATACTGGGGTCCATAAGTTCCCACTTGCTCAGGTTAGCTATTTAGTGGGTTTTCCTAGCATGGTCTTGATCACCTTTGTTCATCACTCCTCCCTCTCTGAAACTGGATTACTGGAGATTGGGTCAGTGCTTAGCTATGGGCGTCTGCTTCTGCTTCCATCAGTTACTGAATGAAGCCTCTAGGATGACATTTAAGGTGGCCATTATAGAGGAAGGGCATTTAAGGTAGCCTCTCCACTATTGCTTAGATTCCTAGTTGGGACCATCCTTGTGGATCTCTGTGCCTAGAGCCAGGTTTTTCTTCAAACCTTTAATGGTCCCCTCTATTGATGTGTCCCTTTTCTTGCTCTCCTTTATTCATCTCCCCATTCAACTTTTATGAACCCTCATGTTTTCCTCCCCCCATCTCCTCCCCTCCTTTCCCCTCCTCCTTTCTCCCACATGCTCCCAACTCGTTAAGGAGCTCTTGTCCCTTTCCACTTCACTGGGGGACCACATATGTCTCTCTCACTGTCCTCCTTGTTTCCTACCTAATCTGGAGGTGTAGATTGTATCAGCAAATGGATGGAACTAGAAAAAGCCCTGAGTGAGTTTTCAGAACCAGAAAGGTAAATGTGGTATAAATTCCCTTATAAGGGGATATTAGCTGTTGAGTGAATTTTAACCAAACTACAATCTGTAGACCCAGAGAGGTTAGGTAAAGAGATGGGTGGAGGACTTCAGGGATCTCCCTGGATGGGGGAAATAGACTAGACTTTAGAAGTGGAACAATGGTAGGTCAGGACAGGAGGGGGTCAAGTACTAGGGAGACAGGGTGGATGGAATAGTACAGTTAGAGATGGCTGGAATAGAAGGGGACATTTAGGGATTTTTCTAGTTCCATCCATTTGCTGATATTTGCAACTCTGACTGTGGTAAGATGAAATCTCAAAGTTGTTTTGGTTTGCATTTCTTTAATTGCTAGAAATGGTAAAGTTTAAAGATGTTACTTAGCAATTTTTACTTCTACTTTTGAGAATACTCTTTTCAGATCACAAGCTAATTTTTGAATGAGTTTTGGGCTTGTTGTATGTTTTTTACTCTTTGTCTTTTGAACTCTTTGTTCTGTATATTAATTCTCTGTTAGAGAATCTTAGCTGCCAAAAACTTTTCTTCTTGTCTGTGGGATTCCTCTTAGCCTGATTGGTTTTTTTTCAGCAGTCTAGAAACTTTTTGTTTTATGCTGTTCTATTTGTTAATAGTTGACTTTAGTTTTTGGGCAACTGAATATCTAATCAGAAGAAGATTTCTCTACACCTATATCATGTAAGTGTCTGCCTTTTCCTTCTTCTAGAAGATTTAACATATATATAAACATACATACATACATATATATACATATACATATACATACATATATATACATATATATATACATATATATATATATATATGTATATATATATATATTCAATACAGGGTTTGTCTGTATAGCTCTGGTTGTTCTGAAACTTGGTCTGTGGACCAGGCTGACTTTGGACTCAGAAATCCACCTGCCTCTACCTTTGGGATTAAAGGCATGTGCCACCACCACCACCATAAGTTTATAGTTTTGAATTTAGGTATTTGACCATTTGAAGTTACTTTTGTGGAAGGTGATAGATATGGGTCTAATTTCATTCTCTCTCTCTCTCTCTCTCTCTCTCTCTCTCTCTCTCTTTCTCTCTCTCTCTCACACACACAGAGGAGAAAGATGGCAAATTTTGAGGTTTAATAGTTTGTCAAGTTGGATGAAAAGTAATTTGTTTAACTCACCTTATTTTTTTTAGAGATCTTGCTTAAATTTTTTCATTTTGAAAAGATGACATCTTGTGAAATAAAAAAATACAAATCATCTGTATTACAATATATAAAGTCACCAATTGGCCAGTTACTGTAGTCATAATATATTTTCTAGTTTTTATTACTTATTTTTATGATTATAATGTACTTATATCATTTCCCCTTTCCCTCCTTTTGCTTCAAATCCTCCCATATACTCTTTCCATTTTTCAAATTAAAGGACTTCTTTCCATTAAGTTTTGTTACCTTTCCATCTCTCTCTCTCTCTCCCTCTCGCTGTGTGTATCTAAGTCTATCTATCTGTCTGTCTGTCTATCATCTATTATCTGTCTATTTATCAATCATATACTATCTACCTATCACCTATATACCTACCTATTCCTAAGTACAACCTGCTCAGTCTGTGTAATGTTGCTTGTACGTATGTTTTCAGTGTTGACCATTTGGTACTGGATAATCAGTTGGTGTGCTCTTCCCAGGAGAAGATTCTTCCACACTCAGCATTGCTTAGTTGCGTGTAGTTTCTGTGTATAGGGTTTTGGCCTTCACTTTAGCATGCCTATTGCTGTTGTCCTTGTCCAGCTAGTGTATAGGCAGTCATGTAGGTGAGACTTTATAGGTATAGCTTTTGACCATACTCAGAATCACAGTTCATAAGAAACTTCCAGATTGGCTCTTACAACCTTTCTAATTAATTTTTGACCAATTTTAGTCTTAGCTGAGGGACTCCTTCTCCTCCTCCTCCTTTTTTAAAACAGGGTTTCTCTGTGGCTTTGGAAGATGTCCTGAAACTATCTCTTGTAGACCAGGCTGGTCTGGAAATCACAGAGTTCTACCTGCCTGTCTCCCAAGTGCTGGGATTAAAGGAGTGTGCCACCACCGCCTGGCCCAGGGTTCCCTTGAATGACATCTCCCATCAGTTCCTTTTGTAGATGTGTACATTGGGATTAGACTTGACAACTCTGCAGTTTGAATGTTATAAAAATTATAATACTTTGAAACTTTTATGATGGTTGATGTGTTTGTTCATGAGTAAAGTATAATGTTTAACTAAAATTGTCAGCTCATTTCACATTTTCTTAGATAGGCTTGTAAGATAATAGTTTCAGGTTTAACATTTTCAAAACCAATTTAACACTAGTTTCTCATCTATGGGCACCGGATTTTGTGGAAAGATAACTTAGGTTCCTCAGTTCTAAGTTCTAATGACAAGACAGAACAAGTGACAGTTGGTAACTAGGTACACCCATCTCTGACTATGTCCTAGTGGGTCCAGTGCCCTGCCTGCAGCATATCTTGTTGGCCCAGCATTACATTTTGGAGTAGGTAAGGGGGGAGGATGTGATCAAGCAGTTATTCACAATGAACTGCACTCCATGCACATGTCTCTCAGAATCTTAGCTCCTAATGACATGTGTAGATTTGTCTTGATGACCACTTAGTGTTGTAAACCAAAGGAAGCCATATCCTTTCACCATTATATAAGATTCAAATGCCCTCTCTTCTTGCTAAGGATCACAATGTAAACTGCACTGTTGTTTGAAAACTTTGATAATATTGAGACTTCACAATGAATCTAAAACTCTTCTATTCTTCATACTAGAACATCCGGATGAAGTAATTCTTTTTGTCTTTTGACTTTTTTTTTTTTTTGAGAAAAAGAAGGAAAGAAAGAAAAGGAGGGGATTATTAAGTAAGATGACTAGGGAGTAGGAAGGATGTAGAAGACTTTGGGAAAGGGAAAACATGATCAGAATACATTATATAAAATTATTTTAAAGAAATGGAGTGACGATTCAATCAGGCAGTCATGAAATCCCCGAGGACGTGCTTGAGCTGCTCTGTGAATGGTTTTTCAACCTCAGCTACCACTGAAACAAGAGTAGGTTGTCCCTCCAAGCAATAGGTTTACTGAGCTGCTTTGCATGCTGCATCAATAGCCAATGGTCCAGGCTGCTCAAAGCATCTTTAAGGGCAGCTTGTTAGTGACTGAAGACTGAAAGCTCTAGTTCAGTTCTCAGAGATGAAGCCATCTGCTTTCTTCCTATTGATTCTGCTGCTCTGGGTACCGGGTGAGAAGGTGCAGGGAAGTGTTGGGAGCACATACTGTTTCACATGCCTCTGGGATGTTGGTCTTTGGAGTCATATGTCTCACAGTGAGACGGTTTCAGTGCATCTGCAATAGTGGTTTTGTGTTTATCATTCCAGGTTCCACTGGGGACATTGTGCTGACCCAGTCTCCAGCTTCTCTGTCTGTGTCTCTTGGAGAAAAAGCCACCATCTCTTGCAAGTCCAGTGAGAGTGTCAATAAATTTGGCATAAATCTTATGCACTGGTATCAAAAGAAGCCAGGACAGCCTCTCAAACTCCTGATCTACAATGAATTCCAACTAGAATCTGGGGTCCCTGGCAGGTTCAGTGGTGATGAGGATGCATCAGGCTTCACCCTTACCATCCACCCTGTGGAAGCTGATGATATTGCAACCTATTATTGTCATCAAGGACTAGATCGTCCTCCCACAGCCCTCTATGTCTAAGCAAAAACCTCCTGGGTTTGCTGCATGCTAAGGCTCAGCCCTCAGTATATTTCCCTTGAGACACCTCAACTAGGGTCTATGTAAGGCTTGTTATAAAGAGGAGGAAATCTACAAGCAGAAAGATTTTATGCCCACAAGAGCATTTGTTTCCCTGACCATCTTCTAAGTAATTTTGTTACTATTAAATGATGTCCCAGCTTACTATTTCTCAAACAAGTTTTTTTAGATTTAATAATTTTTTACTCAATTATTAAAAACTAAAAGGAAGCATTCCCCATCATTTAATAAAAAGAACTTTAAATATTAAACAATGTTAAAGATATGATATCCAAATACTGCTCAATACTCTTAAGCTAAGATTTATTTGTTTTGTTTTTGAGACAGAGTCTCATAATGAAGCTCTGGATTTTCTGTAATTCATTATATAGAAAGGTTGGCCTTGAACTCAGAGATTTGCTTGTCTCTGCCTCACAAGTCCTTGGATTAAAGGATGTTGAGCATTTCTTTAAGTGTCTTTTTCACCATTTGAGATTGTTCTGTTGAGAATTCTCTATTTAGATCCGTACCCCATTTATTTTGACAACTTTTTTAAGATTTAAATTTGAAATAAATAAGCTTGTTTTAAATGTCAATTCCTGTTCTAACACCCTCTTGTCCTCCTCTGTCCCCCAACTACCACGATCCCATCCCCTTTCTGCTTCCCAGGGAGGGTGAGGCCTTCCATGGGGAGTCTTCAAAGCATGTCATGTCATTTGGAGCAGGGCCTAGGTCCTCCCCTATGTGTCTAGGCTGAGAGAGTATCCCTCTATGTGGAATGGGCTCCCAAAGTCCATTCCTATACTAGGGATTAATACTGATTCATTACCAGAGGTCCCCCAGAATGCCCTGGTTTACTAAATAACACCCACATTCAGAGAATCTGGGTAGGTCCTATGCTGGTTTCCCAGCTGTCAGACTAGAGTCCATGAACAAGTCCTGACTTGCTCAGGTCAGCTGTCTCTGTGAGTCTGGACCCCTTTGCTCACCACTCCTCCCTGTCCGCAACTGGATTTCAGGAGTTTGGCTCTGTGTTTAGATGTGTGTGTCTATTTCTGCTTCCATCATTTACTAAATGAAGGCTCTAGGATGACATATAAGGTAGTGATCAATCTCATTGTTGAGGAAGGGCATTTAAGGTAGCCTCTTCACTATTGCTTAGATTGTTAGTTTGGGGTCATCCTACTAAACCACTGGACTTTTCTTTAGTGCCAGATTTCTCTTAATATCCACAATGGCTCCCCCTATTATGGTATCTCTATTCTTGCTTTCCTCTATTCTTTCCATGACTAAGTCTTCCTGCTCCCTCATGCCTAACTCTCCTCTATTCTTCCTCCCACCTCCCTCTTCCCTCCCCCCATGCTCCCAATATTCTTGGGAGATCTTTTACTTTTTCCCATTCTCCAGGGGAACATGCATGACACTTTTAGGATCCTCCTTGTTTCCTATCTTTTCTGGTGATGTGAATTGTAGGCTGGTGATCCTTTGTTCTATGTCTAAAATCCATATTTGACTGAGTACGTATCGTGTTATCTTTTTATGACTGGGTTCACTCACTCAAGATGGTTTCTTCTAGTTCTATCCATTTGCCCGGGAATTTCATTATTCCATTTTTTTTTTTCTGCTGAGTAGTACTCCATTGTGTAAATGTGCCACATATTCTTCATCATTTTTTCATTTTAGGTTGCTTTCAGGTTATGGCTATTACAAATAATGCTTCTATGAAAATAGTTGAACAGATGTCCCTGGTATGAATGTGCATCCTTTGGGTATATGCCTAAGAGTGGAATTGATGAATCTTGAGATAGACTGGTTCTCATTTTTCTGAAGAACTGTCAAACTGATTTCTAAAGTGGGTGTACAAGTTTACACTCCCACCATCAGTGTAGGAGTGTTCCTCTTTCTCCACATCTGCTCCAGCATAAACTGTCATTGGTGTTTTTGATTTTAGCCATTCTGACAGGAGTTAAGATCATACCTCAGAGTTGTTTTGATTTGCATTTCCCTGAAGGCTCAGGCTGTTGAACATTTTATTAACTGTCTTTCAGCCATTTTAGATTTCTTTATTGAGAATTCTCCATTTAGTTCTGTACCCCACTTTTTAATTGGATTATTTTGTGTTTTGGTTACTAGCTTCTTGAGTTCTTTGTATATTTTTAAGATCAGTCCTCTGTCAGATGTGGGATTGGTGAAGATCTTTTCCCATTCTGTGGGCTGCTGTTTTGTCTGTTGTCTGTGTCCTTTGCCTTACAGAAGCTTCTCAGTTTCAGGAGGTCTCATTTATTAATTGTTGATCTCAGTGTCAGTGCTACTGGCTTCATGTTAAGGAAGTGGTCTCCCTGTGCCAATTTGCTCAGTGGTACCTCCTACTTTCTCTTCTAAGAGGTTCAGTGTGGCTGAGTTTATGTGGAGCTCTTTGATCCACTTGGACTGAAGTTTTGTGCATGGCGATAGCTACAGGTCTATCTGCAATCTCCTACATGTCTGCATCCAGTTATGCCAGCACCATTTGTTGAAGATGCTTTTTTTCCCCATTGTATAGTTTTAGCTTCTTTGTCAAAAATCCTGTGTTTGTAGTTCTGTGGGATAATATCGGGGTCTTCAATTCGATTTCATTGGTCTACCTGTCTGTTTTTGTGGGAATACCAAGCTGTTTTCATGACTGTAGCAGAGTTTGAAGTCAGGGATGGTGATGCCTTCAGAAGTTCCTGGATTGTTTTGGCTATCCTGGGTTTTCTGTTTTTCCATATAAAGTTGAGTATTTTTCCTTTCAAGATCTGTGAAGAATTGTGCTGGGATTTTGATGGTGATTGCATTGAATCTTCAGATTGCTTTTGGTAAGATTGCAATTTTTTTTTTTTACTATGTTTATCCTACCTATCCAAGAGCATGGAAGTTCTTTCCATTTTCTGGTATCTTCTTTAATTTCTTTCTTTAATGACTCAAAGTTCTTGTCCCATAGGTATTTCACCTGTGTTGTTAGAGTTACTCCAAGACATTTTATGTTGTTTATGGCTATTGTAAAGGGTGATGTTTCTCTGATTTCTTTCTCAGCCCCTTTATTGTCTGTATTTGTAGGACTACTGACTTTTTTGAGTTAATCTTGTATTATGCCACTTTGTTGAATGTGTTTATCAACTGTAGGAGTGGCAGGTAGAAATCTTTGGGTCACTTATGTAAACTATCATATCATCTGCAAATAGTGACAGTTTGACTTCTTCCTTTCCAATTTGTATCTCCTCGATCTCCTTTTGTTGTCTTATTGCTCTAGCAAGAACTTCAAATGCAATATTGAAGAGATATGGAGGGAGTGGACAGCCTTGTCTTTTTCCTGATTTTAGAGAAATGCACTGAGTTTCTCTCTGTTTATTTTGATGTTGGCAGTCAGTTTGCTGTATATTGCCTTTATTATGTTTAGGAATGTTCCTGTTATTCCTGATCTCTCCAAGATCTTTATTAGGATAATGTTGAATTTTGTCAAAGGCTTCTTCAGTCTCTAGTGAGAAGATCATGTGGTTTTTCTTTTTCAGTTTGTGTATGTGGTGGATTACATTGATGGGTTTTTGTATGTTGAACCATCATTGCACCTCTGGGATTAAGCCTACTTGATCATGGTGGATGATTTTTCTGATGTGTTTGTTCTTGGATTTGATTTGCATCAATGTTCAACAGGGAGACTGATCTGTAGTTCTTTTTCTTAGTTATGTCTTTGTGTGGTTTGGGTCCAAAGTAATTGCATTTTGTAAAAAGGGTTTGGAAATGATCCTTCTGCCTCTATTGTGTGGAACAATTTGAGATGTATTGGTATTATCTCTTCTTTGAATTCTCAGTAGTATTTTTAGGTTAGTCACTGCTATAGGCATTTGTAGTTGCTTCCACATGGATTCTTGTTTGGCTTCTTCCAGAAGTTCTGCACCACCATTGTGCTAGCATATTATATAGGCAGGGCAGATCCTAGATCAGAATTTTTGTGTCTGGTTTGGTGTGTTCGGTGTTTTATTGGTGTGAAAAGACAGCGCGGCCATGGCAAATCTTATGGAGGACATATTTAATTGGGGTGGCTTACTTCCAGTTTCAGAGCTTCATTCCATTATCATCATAACCAGGGGCATGGCAATGTGCAGGTAGAAGTAGCGCTGAAGTATTAGAAAGTCCTACACCTTGCAAAGAACAGGAAGTTGACTGATAGTCACAGTGAGGAAAGTTTGAGCAAAAGAGACTTTAAAGTCTGCCCCACACTGACATACTTCCTCCAAGAAAGCTACAGTTTTTAATAGTGCCACTCCCTTTAGGCTCCATTTTTTTTTTCAAGCCAACATAATTTGTAGCCTGCTAAGTACCTTCCCAAGGCAAAGAGAATGGAACTTAAGGATGTGGGCTCCATATAGGCACCAGCCTGACATCTTCATGTTCAATGAATTCTGGTGTTATCCTCCATACAATGTCAGTTTGCAGAGAGCAACCGTTTGTCTTAGAAACAGCCTAGATTTGGGAATTTCAGCGGGTCTTTTCTTGGCCAACAACTCAATTGAATGCAACTTAGCCCGGCCACTGGAATATTCATCTGACTACAAAAGACAGCTGGTTGAGACTCTATCCTCTGTTGCTAGGAGCCCTCATTAGGATTATCTTCATAGTTTTCAGGAAGTTTCAACTACTCTAAGATTCCATATAATTCCTAAGTGCCCCTTCTAATCTAGCTATCTCTCCCTGTACTATTCCCTTCATCCCATCTCCCTAGTAGTTGACCCCCTCCTGTCCTGACCTACCATTGTTCCACCTCTAAAGTCTAGTCAATTTCCCCCATCCAGGGAGATCCTTGACATCCTCCACCCATCTCTTTCCCTAACCTCTCTGGGTCTACAGATTGTAGTTTGGTTATAATTAACTCAACAGCTAGTATTCCCTTATAAGGGAATTTATACCACATTTACCTTTTTGGTACTGAAAACTCACTCAGGGTTTTTTCTAGTTCCATCCATTTGCTGATACTTGCAACTCTGACTCTGGTAAAATGAAATCTCAAAGTTGTTTTGGTTTGCATTTCTTTAACTGCTAGAAATGGTAAAGTTTAAAGGTGTTACTTAGCAATTTTTACTTCTACTTTTGAGAATACTCTTTTTCAGATCACAAGCTAATTTTTGAATGAGCTATTTGGGTTTGTTATATATATATATATAAATATATATATATAAATATATATATAAATATATATATATATATATATTTTTTTTTTTACTCTTTTGTACTTTTTTACTCTTTTTTTACTCTGTTTTTTTTTTTACTCTTTTGTTTTTTACTCTTTGTTCTGTTTATTAATTCTCTGTTAGAGAATCTTAGCTGGCAAAAAGTTTTCTTCTTGTCTGTGGGCCTCCTCTTAACCTGATTGGTATTTTCTTCAGCAATCTAGAAACTTTTTTTGTTTTATTATGTTCTTTTTGTTAATAGTTGACTTAGTTTTTGGGTAACTGAATTTCTAATCAAAAGATGATTTCTCTATAGCAATATCATGTAAGGGCCTGTCTTTTTTTTCTTCTAGAAGATTTATTTATTTATTTATTTATTTATATATTTATATATTTTTTCAATACAGGGTTTGTCTGTATAGCTCAGGTTGTTCTGAAACTTGCTTTGTAGACCAGGCTGACTTTGGAGCAGAGATCTATCTTCCTCTACCTCCTGAGTGCTGGGATTAAAGGAATGTGTCACCACCATCTAGATAAGTTTCTAGTTTTGAACTTAGGTCTTTGACCATTTGAAGTCACTTTTGTGGAAGGTGATAGATATAGGTCTAATTTCATTATTACACACATCCACACCCCCTCCCACATACACTGAGCAGAAAGATAGCACAGTTTTGAGCTTTACTAGCTTGTCAAGTTGGTTGAAAATTAATTTGTTTTACTCAACTTATATTTCTAGAGATCTTGCTTAAAATTTTGTTCATTTTGAAAAGATGACATCTTGTCAAATAAAAAATACAAATAATCTGTGTTACAATATATCAAGTCACATGCAACCAGTTGGCCAATTATTGTAGTCATAATATTGTTTCCACTTTTTATCATTTATTTTTTTGATTTCATAATGTACTTACAGCATTTCCCCTTTTCCTCCTCTTGCTCAAATCCTCCCATATACTCTTTCTATTTTTTTCAAATTAAAGGACTTCTTTCCATTAAGTTTTGTTACATCTATTTATCTTTCTATCTATCATCTATTCTTCAAATTAGAACATCCAGGAAGTAATTCTTTTTGCCTTACTGTATTTTTTTTGTTATGATTTTTGATTTTTTTTGAGAGAGAGAATGACATAAAGAAAAGGAGGGGATTGTTAAGTAAGATGACTAGGGAGTAGGAAGGATGTAGAAGACTTTGGGAAAGGGAAAACATGATCAGAATACATTATATAAAATTATTTTAAAGAAATGGAGTGACGATTCAATCAGGCAGTCATGAAATCCCCGAGGACGTGCTTGAGCTGCTCTGTGAATGGTTTTTCAACCTCAGCTACCACTGAAACAAGAGTAGGTTGTCCCTCCAAGCAATAGGTTTACTGAGCTGCTTTGCATGCTGCATCAATAGCCAATGGTCCAGGCTGCTCAAAGCATCTTTAAGGGCAGCTTGTTAGTGACTGAAGACTGAAAGCTCTAGTTCAGTTCTCAGAGATGAAGCCATCTGCTTTCTTCCTATTGATTCTGCTGCTCTGGGTACCGGGTGAGAAGGTGCAGGGAAGTGTTGGGAGCACATACTGTTTCACATGCCTCTGGGATGTTGGTCTTTGGAGTCACATGTCTCACAGTGAGATGGTTTCAGTGCATCTGCAATAGTGATTTTGTGTTTATCATTCCAGGTTCCACTGGGGACACTGTGCTGACCCAGTCTCCAGCTTCTCTGTCTGTGTCTCTTGGAGAAAAAGCCATCATTTCTTGCAAGTCCAGTGAGAGTGTCAATAGATTTGGCACAAATCTTATGCACTGGTATCAAAAGAAGCCAGGACAGCCTCTCAAACTCCTGATCTACAATGAATTCCAACTAGTATCTGGGATTCCTTCCAGGTTCAGTGGTGGTAAGGTTGCATTAGACTTCACCCTTACCATCCACCCTGTGGAAGCTGATGATATTGCAACCTATTATTGTCATCAAGGACTAGATCGTCCTCCCACAGCCCTCTATGTCTAAGCAAAAACCTCCTGGGTTTGCTGCATGCTAAGGCTCAGCCCTCAGTATATTTCCCTTGAGACACCTCAACTAGGGTCTGTGTAAAGCTTGTTAGAAAAAGGAAGGAATCTACAAAACAGAAAATTCTTTTGCTCATGAGAACATTTGTTTCCCCTGACTATCTTATAACTAAGTAATTTTGTTACTAATGAATGCTGTCCCAGCTTACTATTTTTTCAAACACCTTTTTTAGATTTAATAATTTTTTTTTACTCAGACAATTATTAAAAAACATCAAGGAAGCTTTTTCTAGTCTTTACATAAAAATACCTTTAAATATTAAACATTGTTAATGATCTAATTTCTAAATACTGCTTAATATTCTTAACTTAGATTTATTTGTTTTGTTTTTGAAGTGTTATAACCACATTCTGCTAGAAAGTTGAGGCAACTCTTCCTACTTTTCTGAAATTTTTTCTCATGGAACACAAAGAAGGATGTCTTTCACATATTGGAAAACACTAATGTATGAGTAAGTATATTCATATAGGTCCATAGGTAGTGCTTTTCCACAGATAGGGCTGTGTAGGAACCCATTGGAAATGCACTCCATGAAGAGGATGACCTAGTTTGAAGGGTCCTCTAAAACAAAGAGATACCTCCAATCCTCAAAGGTGGTCCTGGCAGTCTAAGTAAGCATGTAAGAATGAAGAGAACATCCTCAGGAGCTTTAAGCTCATGGCAACTTCCTTAACTAATAAAGGTAGTCTTTCTGGAAAGACCCAACTGTTGTCAACATATTAGTTAGCTTCAGGGGGCATTCATGGATCCATAATATAGCAAGACCACCACAAGATCTGTCACCTTTTCCTTATTCCAAGTTATAGCCAGGGTAATTTAAAGTACATGGAAACATCAAGCATCTCCAACATAAGGATTGAGGAGCCAAGAAGTCTCAATATCTCAGCAAGTCAGAGAACTACAAGCTGCAAAACCTCACTGCCCATCTAAAAAGAGAAGGTGTCCTTGACATTCTGTCTTTCCAACTGTGTTTGTAATGACATCTGAACTTTTAAGTCCTACGTGCATGGCAGTCATCATGGTTGAATAGGATCAAATCAGCAGGAGTAGCTTCCCTCACCAAAGTTGCAACCCTTCCTATCTGTGTCCCATCTTTGTGTTTCCTCTATGCTTAGGGCTGACTGGCTGCATCAAGGTTTGGGCCCTAGTCCAATTCATAAATGAAGTTGTAAATGGCCTCTTGTGCCAATTTAATGTTAATTTCATAAGGATAAGGAGAGGTGCTTGTCTTTTGGAATCATATGCTTTCCCCTAGTTGGTTCAGAAGTTATTTATGGCTATATCTGTCCGTCTTCTCATAATGAAGATCTAGATTTTTTTCTAAACAGAGAACAAGTAAATACAGTTGTCTAATAAATTGGAAGAAAAAGACAGTACCATTTAAGGGGCTTTGTTCAAGGAGAAAGACTCTCTTGTGTCTGTTCTAGCAGTCAAGAAAAGAATTCTGATGTTGGGAATCTTCTCAGGGGATGATCATACGGGTGGAATGATGGGTGCCCCAGTTTTGGTAACAGAGAAATTCTCCATTTGTTGTCCCCTTACCTCTACCTAGCTTATTTACTTACTTTCTGACTCAGTCATGAGACATGGAGGAGAAAACCATACCCCATTAAGAAGTGTAAGTGGTTTTTAACCACAGTTCTCTTACTCGAGACACCAGTAAGGAAACCAGAAAGGAGATCTGAGAGCAAAAAAAGCAAAGATGTCCCCACCCTTCTGCTGCTGACAGATCTCACTGAGTGATGATAACCCTGGATTTCAATAGTCTCATGTCTAGGATCAGTGGGTGGATCCAATCTAGAGTAGCCAATGTTTATGAACTTCTTCCTGTAGAGCCAAGGATCTCTGAAGCTCCAGGGACTTACTTGACAGTGAAGCAGCCTCTCTACAGAAGGGTTCTTTACACCAAGGAGATCATGTCACAATGAAGTCATGTCCCCCTTGTGTCCGTATCTCAGCACTGTAATTTATTTTCCCACTCATCACGTTCCCCGCTCATTGCCACCCAGGACAATACTGATAGCTGGGTATATGACAGAGAGGGTAGTAGACCCCACCCAGTATGCTCACTCACTCCAAAGCTAAATGTGGTCAGCAGAAGATTCTTGCATGCAAAGGAGGGAGGTTACTGGTTTGAGGGTAGACCTGTTGTCCACCAGAGGGATGGGAATAAAAAACAACCTTACGCACATGAGTCAAACTATTTACCCCTGCTCCCTGTGCATATAACAGACAGTACCTAATTTTTAAGGACACCAAGTTTCTCTAGTACTTCATCCTTTCTCCCTTTGAATGGGAACCTTGTGTGCTCCATTATTTATTTTCACTACATCTATAATAGTTTTCACTTTATTATATTGAAAAATACAAGTTATTTTAAAATTTTCGTTTTCTCCTTCATTAATATTGTATATACCTTCAATTCATTTATTGGGATGTCAGTTTTCATTTTAAGGAAGGAGGTTGAAGATCCCTACCATGACATCATTGGGTCATTGGCAAATATAGTTGAAGAAATCAGGATGAATTATGACACATGACAGCTATTATGGGGGTCAGATTCAGTGGCCTTATTTTTGAGGGCTTTGAGTATATCTATAATTTGTGCATTTTAGCATTCTGGTATTCATTGAGGGACATCCTGCTGACCCAGTCTCCAGGTCCCTTGGCTATGTGTCCAGGGCAGAGGGCAACCATGTCCTGCAGGGCTGGGCAGAATGTCAGTTAATGTAACAATTCTAAAACTCCTGATCTATGCTGCAGCTAATTTGGAATTTGAGACTTCACTGTGGGTCTGGGACAGTCTTCATCCTCACCATCCATCCTGTGGAGGCTGATGATGCTCAACCTATTACTATCAGCAGAGGGAGGAGTTTCCTCCGACAGTGCTCCAGGGTTAAATAAAACCCGGTGCTGCTGTTCACTGAGACATACTCTCTCGCTGTCTTTCTCTTACCTCTGACATCTTAACTACACAGCTCCGGGCTTGTCTGGAAAACATCTCAAATGATGACAAAGCTATTATAAACTGGTTTACATGAGTGTCCTATCCCATATGCTTTATAATTTAATGATTTTGCAACAAAATATAGACCTTTATGATTGTTTCTTAATTATTATGTTGGATGATTTTACCCCTCTTCCCCCATCTCCCTGACTACATCTCTGCCTATTTCTCCTACCCTCCGTATTCCACCTCTGGTTCTCCCATCACTTAGAGTTTACTCTTACTTTCAAAAGGTTTAAAAAAAAACATTTAAAAAAAGGCTTTGTGTTTAAAAAAGATAGTAAATATAAAATACATCACTGGAAAAAAAATCGTGTTAACCAAAGGTATTTATTGTGGTGTGTGTGTGTGTATGTGTGTGTGTGTGTGTGTGTGTGTGTGTGTGTGTGTCAGAGGCCAACTTGCAGGAGTTAGTTCCTTCTCTCCATGAGGTGTGCTCTGGGAATAAAATTGAGGTCATCAGTCTTTGCTGTAAGTGCCTTTTATGGTACTGGCTGAGCAATTTTGCCATTCTGAAGTTCTATTTCCTTTTCCTCCTTTATTTTATTTTGTTTTACAGTGTGTGTGTGTGTGTGTGTGTGTGTGTGTGTGTGTGTGTGTGTGTGTATGCGTGCGTGTGTGTTTGAAGTGGGGTATGTATGAGTGACTGCCTATAGCAGGTAGAAAAGGGAATCAGATCCCATGGAGCTGGAGGTACAGGAGATTGTAAACTAGTTGATGTGGGTGTTGGGAGCCAGTCTGGGGTCCCCTGCAGCCGCAGGAAGCAGTTGGGACCACTGCCTAATTAGGTGTTTTATAGAGTGCATAAATGCTTTGCCGTAGGACATTGTAAAGTTAATGGAAGCGTTGCTCTTCATCATTTAAGCTGAAGAGAGCTTTGAGAGGTTAAGACCGTCAGGGAATCTTTCAGATGCAGGCTTGCCTCCTCACCCCAGCGTTTTATTCTCCTGTTGCTGTTGTGTGTGTGTGCGCGCCTCACAGACAGCCTGCTGTGGTTACTTGGAAACGTAAGGCTGTGCTGCAGCTACCTTTCTGCTTTGGCTCCCATGTCTGTATCTCTGTGTCCGTCCCCAGATTAAGTCTTAAGTCTTTACTGATTAGCATTTTGTTTTTTATCAAGTATTCATTTCTTTTGTATGTGTGGTCAAAGAGTTCCTGACAATTCTTTCTTCATTCTTGGTGTATAAGTGTACAAGCTGTGAGTGTGCACGTGACTCAGAGTGCACGTGGAGATCAGAGAACAAATTTCAGGTGCTGAGTGCTGATCCTGAAATCTCACTTTGTTTGAGGCAGGGTCTCTTATCTGCTGCCATTGTGAACTTTTGGAGATTTCCTGTCTCTGTTTCCCAACTTTGAGTATGAGTGCTGGGACCCCAGATGCTTGAAGCATCTCATTTGTCCATATGTGAGTACCAGGATCCAGCATCTCATTTGTCCATATGTGAGTACCAGGATCCAGCATCTCATTTGTCTACATGTGAGTACCAGGATCCAGCATCTCATTTGTCTACATGTGAGTACCAGGATCCAGCATCTCATTTGTCTATATGTGAGTACCAGGATCCAGCATCTCATTTGTCCATATGTGAGTACCAGGATCCAGCATCTCATTTGTCTATATGTGAGTACCAGGATCCAGCATCTCATTTGTCTACATGTGAGTACCAGGATCCAGCATCTCATTTGTCCATATGTGAGTACCAGGATCCAGCATCTCATTTGTCCATATGTGAGTACCAGGATCCAGCATCTCATTTGTCCATATGTGAGTACCAGGATCCAGCATCTCATTTGTCCATATATGAGTACCAGGGTCCAGACTCAGGTCATAAAACTGAACAGCATTTTACTCACTGAGCCATTTTCCAAGCCAGGGCCTGTTCCATTGAACACTTTGTCTATTGTTGTTTCTGATAGGGTAGTTCTTCCTTGT